CTGAAGCTAAATTGCATTTGTAGATTTGCTTCCAAATAGGATGTAATTGTTTACAATTATTAAACAGTTAATGAACTTCGAAGCACCAGGAGGCTGTTTATAACAATAACAACAGTTGATTAGGAAATTTTCATGCTTGTAAACTGTTTAATAAATGTTTCCAAAGCCGTCAAAGATTGAGGAAAGATGTACACGTTCATAAGTACTTCCGTAACTGCTTCGTGAATCTGGCCCATGATCTTTCTAATTGCCAATCGAGGACAGTTGTAATTTTTATTTGAAAACTGGGCAAGGGAAGTGTTAACACCATCATCAAAGTTACGAGGACGCCACTGGCACTGTCCAGCTACGACCGCAACCCGTTCTCGCACTTTCGTACAGTCAATATTGACTTATTAAATAAGTGCATATGTGACATACTAATTTACTGTGAATATTTTAGTTTACCTTGAAAAGCTTCGTAGAAAACACCGACCTTACCTAACCTTCTTAGTATGTTAGGATAAGCATCTTATTGCTTCTTAATTACAATTATTACTTAACCTATTATAGGTATTGGTTAAGTAATAATTGTAATTACTAAGCAATAAGATGCTTATCTTAACATACTAAGAAGGTTAGGTAAGGTCGGTGTTTTCTATGAAGCTTTTCAAGGTAAACTAAAATATTCACAGTAAATTAGTATGTCACATATGCACTTATTTAATAAGTCAATATTGACTGTACGAAAGTGCGAGAACGGGTTGCTGATGACCGGCAGTTAATGCCTCCAGTAATGTGGTTCTCGTAATGGCTTACTAAATAAGAAAGCTTTGGATCTGCGGGTAATTAATGCAAAGACAAAGAAGCCAAGAGATCAATAAAAACATGATATTTTTAACCAGCAATTCGAGCGACCTATTAAATATCCGTCAGAAGCATGAAGACTAAAAACAAGGGATTATATAGACCGCTGCAGAAATGTCAATGGAAACTTAAAATAAATAAAGAGGGGCCTCGTAGCCTGGTGGATAGCGCGCAGGACTCGTAATTCTGTGGCGCGGGTTCGATTCCCGCACGAGGCAGAAACAAATGGGCAAAAGTTTCTTTCACCCTGAATGCCCCTGTTACCTAGCAGTAAATAGGTACCTGGGAGTTAGTCAGCTGTCACGGGCTGCTTCCTGGGGGTGGAGGCCTGGTCGAGGACCGGGCCGCGGGGACACTAAAGCCCCGAAATCAACTCAAGATAACTCAAGATAATGATTATAATTAGATAAAAGAGGTTGATCAGCACATTACAAAAAACGAATTTGTCATAAACAAATTGTTCCTCTCAACGAATGCTTTATATGTATTTATATATCGGTATGGGGTGATATCGGGTGATATCGGTATGGGGTGATATCGGTATGGGGGTGATATCGGGTGATATCGGTATGGGGGTGATATCGGTATGGGGTGATATCGGTATGGGGTGATATTGGGTGATATCGGTATGGGGTGATATCGGTATGGGGGTGATATTGGGTGATATCGGTATGGGGGTGATATCGGTATGGGGGTGATATTGGGTGATATCGGTATGGGGGTGATATTGGGTGATATCGGTATGAGGGTGATATTGGGTGATATCGGTATGGGGGTGATATCGGTATGGGGGTGATATTGGGTGATATCAGTATGGGGTGATATCGGTATGGGGTGATATTGGGTGATATCGGTATGGGGTGATATCGGTATGGGGTGATATTGGGTGATATCGGTATGGGGTGATATCGGTATGGGGTGATATTGGTATGGGGTGATATCGGTATGGGGGTGATATGGGGTGATATCGGTATGGGGGTGATATCGGTATGGGGGTGATATTGGGTGATATTGGTATGGGGGTGATATTGGTATGGGGGTGATATCGGTATGGGATGATATCGGTATGGGGGTGATATCAGTATCGGGTGATATCGGTATGGGAGTGATATTGGGTGATATTGGTATGGGGGTGATATTGGTTTGGGGGTGATATCGGTATGGGGTGATATCGGTATAGGGGTGATATCAGTATGGGGGTGATATTGGTATGGGGGTGATATTGGCTGATATCGGTATGGGGGTGATATCGGTATGGGGGTGATATTGGTGATATCGGTATGGGGGTGATATCGGTATGGGGTGATATTGGGTGATATTGGTATGGGGGTGATATTGGTATGGGGGTGATATCGGTATGGGTTGATATCGGTATGGGGGTGATATCAGTATCGGGTGATATCGGTATGGGAGTGATATTGGGTGATATTGGTATGGGGGTGATATTGGTATGGGGGTGATATCGGTATGGGATGATATCGGTATGGGGGTGATATCAGTATCGGGTGATATCGGTATGGGAGTGATATTGGGTGATATTGGTATGGGGGTGATATCGGTATGGGATGATATCGGTATGGGGGTGATATCAGTATCGGGTGATATCGGTATGGGAGTGATATTGGGTGATATCGGTATGGGGGTGATATTGGTATGGGGTGATATCGGTATGGGGGTGATATCAGGTGATATCAGTATCGGGTGATATCGGTATGGGAGTGATATTGGGTGATATCGGTATGGGGTGATATTTATATCGGGTGATATCAGTATGGGGGTGATATCAGTATGGGGTGATATAGGTATGGGGGTGATATTGGGTGATATTGGTATGGGGGTGATATCGGTATGGGGTGATATTGGTATGGGGGTGCTATCAGGTGATATCAGTATCGGGTGATATCGGTATGGGAGTGATATTGGGTGATATTGGTATGGGAGTGATATTGGGTGATATCGGTATGGGGTGATATTTATATCGGGTGATATCAGTATGGGGTGATATCAGTATGGGGTGATATCGGTATGGGGGTGCTATCGGTATGGGGGTGATATTGGTATGGGGTGATATCGGTATGGGGGTGCTATTGGTATGGGGTGATATCGGTATGGGGGTGATATTGGTATGGGGTGATATCGGTATGGGGGTGATATTGGTATGGGGTGATATCGGTATGGGGGTGATATTGGTATGGGGTGATATCGGTATGGGGGTGATATCAGGTGATATCAGTATCGGGTGATATCGGTATGGGAGTGATATTGGATGATATCGGTATGGGAGTGATATTGGGTGATATCGGTATGGGGTGATATTTATATCGGGTGATATCAGTATGGGGGTGATATCAGTATGGGGTGATATTGGTATGGGGGTGATAGTGGGTGATATTGGTATGGGGTGATATCGGTATGGGGTGATATCGGTATGGGGGTGCTATCAGGTGATATCAGTATCGGGTGATATCGGTATGGGAGTGATATTGGATGATATCGGTATGGGAGTGATATTGGGTGATATCGGTATGGGGTGATATTTATATCGGGTGATATCAGTATGGGGGTGATATCAGTATGGGGTGATATCGGTATGGGGGTGATATTGGGTGATATTGGTATGGGGGTGATATCGGTATGGGGTGATATCGGTATGGGGGTGCTATCAGGTGATATCAGTATCGGGTGATATCGGTATGGGAGTGATATTGGGTGATATCGGTATGGGAGTGATATCGGTATGGGGTGATATTTATATCGGGTGATATCAGTATGGGGGTGATATCAGTATTGGGTGATATCGGTATGAGGGTGCTATCGGGTGATATTAGTATGGGGGTGATATTTTGGTTGATATTGGTATTCCATGGAGTGGTATCTTTGTATGATATCGGGTTACATCGGTATGGGGGTGATATCGGTATGAGGGTGATATCGGTATAAGGTGATATTGGGTGATATCAGTATGGGGTGATATTGGGTGATATCGGTGTGGAGGTGATACTGGGTGATATCGGTATTGGGGTGGTATTGGGAGATATCGGTATTGGGTGATATCGGTATGGGGGTGATATCGGTATGGGGGTGATATTGGGAGATATCGGTATGGGTGTGATATCGGGTGAAATCGGTATGGGGTGATATTGGGTGATATCGGTATGGGGTGATATCGGTATGGGGTGATGTCGGTATTGGGATGATATCGGTATGGGGGGTGATATTGTGTGATATCGGTATGGGGTGATATTGTATGATATCGGTATGGGAGTGATATCGGTATAGGGTGATATCCGTATGGAGTGATATCAGTATGGGGATGATATCGGAATGGGGATTATATCGGTATGGGGCGATATCGGTGTGGGGTGATATCGGTATGGGGTGATATCGGTACGGGGTGATATCGGTATGGGGTGATATCGGGTGGTATCGGTATGGGGTGATATCGGGGGGTATCGGTATGGGGATGATATAGGTACGGAGAGATATTGGGTGATATCAGTATGGGGGTGATATCAAGTGATATCGGTATGGGGGGTGATATGTGATATCGGTATGGGGGTGATATGTGATATCGGTATGGGGTGATAGTAGTATAGGGTGATATCGGTATGGGGCGATATCGGGTGATATCAGTATTGGGTTATATCGATATGGGGGTGATATTGGGTGATATCTGTATGGGGATGATATTAGTATGGGGTGATATTGGGTGATATCAGTTTGGGGGTGATATTGGTATGGGGTGATATTGGTATGGGGTGATATTGAGAAATATCAGCATGGGGGCGATATCGGGTGATATCAGTATGAGGGTGATATTGGGTGATATCGGTAACATCCAATATATCAGAGAGTGATATCGGGCAATTTTAAATATTTGATGGAAACATGGCACAAAATAACACATCTTTCTCTTCTTATCGCTAAGCAGCAAAAGCCATCAGGAGGACCATCGCTCGCACCTGCAAGCAGTACAGAATCTCACTGAAGCAACACAGCCAAACCCCAACACTTAATAACAGCAAGTCTTGCTCTGATCAGCTGCCTCCGTCACTAAGCATCCCGTCCGTTCACCATATATCACACTCCCACTAACATTCCATAACATCCAGCCAATATCCCACTCCCACACAACTCTTAACCAGTTGCAGATGTCATCTCTGGACTCGTAACTGCTTTTGAAAAGGAGCTGGAGCGAACACTGTAGCGAACACTGGAGCGAACACTGGAGCGAACACTGGAGTGAACATTGGAGTGAACACTGGAGCGAACACTGGAGCGAACACTGGAGTGAACATTGGAGTGAACACTGGAGCGAACACTGGAGCAAACACTGGAGCGAACACTGGAGTGTACACTAGAGTGAACATTGGAGTGAACACTGGAGCGAACACTGGAGCGAACACTGGAGTGTACACTGGAGTGTACACTGGAGTGAACACTGGAGTGAACACTGGAGCGAACACTGGAGCGAACACTGGAGCGAACACTGGAGCGAACACTGGAGCGAACACTGGAGCGAACACAGGAGCGAACACAGGAGCGAACACAGGAGTGAACACTGGAGCGAACACAGGAGGGAACACTGGAGCGAACACAGGAGCGAACACAGGAGCGAACACAGGAGCGAACACAGGAGCGAACACAGGAGCGAACACAGGAGCGAACACTGGAGCGAACACTGGAGCGAACACTGGAGCGAACACTGGAGCGAACACTGGAGCGAACACTGGAGCGAACACAGGAGCGAACACAGGAGTGAACACTGGAGCGAACACTGGAGCGAACACAGGAGCGAACACTGGAGCGAACACTGGAGCGAACACTGGAGCGAACACAGGAGCGAACACTGGAGCGAACACAGGAGCGAACACAGGAGCGAACACTGGAGCGAACACTGGAGCGAACACAGGAGCGAACACAGGAGCGAACACTGGAGTGAACACTGGAGCGAACACAGGAGCGAACACTGGAGCGAACACATGAGCGAATACAGGAGCGAACACAGGAGTGAACACTGGAGCGAACACAGGAGCGAACACGAACACAGGAGTGAACACAGGAGTGAACACAGGAGTGAACACAGGAGTGAACACAGGAGTGAACACAGGAGTGAACACAGGAGTGAACACAGGAGTGAACACAGGAGTGAACACAGGAGTGAACACAGGAGTGAACACAGGAGTGAACACAGGAGCGAACACTGGAGCGAACACTGGAGCGAACACTGGAGCGAACACTGGAGCGAACACTGGAGCGAACACAGGAGCGAACACAGGAGCGAACACTGGAGCGAACACAGGAGCGAACACAGGAGCGAACACAGGAGTGAACACTGGAGTGAACACTGGAGCGAACACAGGAGCGAACACTGGAGCGAACACATGAGCGAATACAGGAGCGAACACAGGAGTGAACACTGGAGCGAACACAGGAGCGAACACAGGAGCGAACACAGGAGTGAACACTGGAGCGAACACAGGAGCGAACACTAGAGCGAACACTGGATCGAACACTGGATCGAACACTGGAGTGAACACAGGAGCGAACACTGGAGCGAACACTGGAGCGAACACTGGAGCGAACACTGGAGCGAACACTGGAGCGAACACAGGAGTGAACACTGGAGCGAACACTGGAGCGAACACTGGAGCGAACACAGGAGCGAACACTGGAGCGAACACTGGAGCGAACACTGGAGCGAACACTGGAGCGAACACTGGAGCGAACACTGGAGCGAACACTGGAGCGAATACAGGAGCGAACACAGGAGCGAACACAGGAGCGAACACATGAGCAAACACAGGAGCGAACACTGGATCGAACACAGGAGCGAACACAGGAGCGAACACAGGAGCGAACACTGGAGCGAACACAGTAGCGAACACTGGAGCAAACACAGGAGCGAACACAGGAGTGAACACTGGAGCGAACACTAGAGCGAACACTGGATCGAACACTGGATCGAACACTGGATCGAACACAGGAGCGAACACTGGAGCGAACACTGGAGCGAACACTGGAGCGAACACTGGAGCGAACACTGGAGCGAACACAGGAGCGAACACTGGAGCGAACACTAGAGCGAACACTGGATCGAACACTGGATCGAACACTGGATTGAACACTGGATCGAACACTGGATCAAACACTGGAATGATTCTAACAATTTCGTTTCACAACAAACCCATTCTGTTCCCACAGGTAAAAACACATCCATGACCAATAAAAGCCAGACAAACACACCTATTAATGACAAATAAAATAATAAACTGATAATAAACTGATACAGGATGAATTTCTAAATAAATTTCTGGCTCAGCAAATGCAACTTTACCTAAAAGTAGACTTCAACACGCACTAAAATACCAGAGAAATGAAATCGTCCTCCACAGCCTCCACACCTGTAAGACTGGGAAGACACACCTTCCTCACCGAGACTCCTCCACCACCTCCAAACCAACCCACCACCAACCCACACGCTGCGTCATTTACACCAACAGATATCGGGTGATATCAGTATGGGGGTGATATCAGGTGATATCGGTATTGAGGTGATATTGTGTGATATCGGTATGGGGGTGATATTGTGTGATATCGATATGGGGTGCAAGGTGTATGCAAGGCTGTCTAACATCAAAAACTGCCTTAAGAAACTTGTGTAAGGAATTCTTAAGAACCTTGTATTCCATGGAGTGGTATCTGTTTATGTACTCCAAACACACACAATCAATCCAAAAACCCTCCTGAGAGTGTTAACTTGGACCCTTTACCTTCATTATCTGGAGCGAAAAAAAAAATTACTCAGAAATATACAAATTCCTCAACTCATCAGGACCAGAGGCAAGATTCACGAAGCAGTTACGCAAGTACTCACGCACGTGTACATCTTTTCTCAGTCTTTGACAGCTTTTCTTTTTTTTGGTTTAATTTATTAAACAGTTTACAAGCATGAAAACTTCCCAATAAACTGTTTTCATTGTTATAAGCAGCCTCCTGGTGCACCAGAGCTCACTATTTGTTTAATAATTGTAAACAAAGTCGCCGAAGATTGAGAAAAGATGTATAGGTTTGAAAGTGCTTGTGTAACTGCTTCGTGAATCTGGCCCCAGACCTCGTCTTCGAACTGTGCCGAACTGCCAAACATAGTCCCATATTGCAACACTTCCAAACGCAGAGAAAGGACGGAGGTAACTGCTTAGTGGTCGGTGTCTTGGCCACAACGAGAAGGAAACTATTGTGCAAGTTTATGAACCTTTAAACTCCTCTAAAGAGGAGACTGGAAACCTTCGGTTGTTCAACACCATGTTCAGGCCCAGACCTCCTCTCCGGGCACTTTAACGTTGGTGAATTAGACGTCTGAACAACTCCACAAGTTGTGCTTCGGAGAAGCTTCGGGATCCTCGTGAGGGCAGTAGCACTTCAGGTTGCAGTTCTTTTAACCATGTCGTGGTATAGTTGACTAAGGCGCATCTGGGAACATCCCGTGCGTAGGTTCGAACCCTCATCACAGCCCTTGTGGATTTGTTCATTTCATATATATCACGTTATTGTGATTTCTGTGTGAATTAGAGGTCTGTCTTGGCCAGATGAGCCACACAATAGTTATTGGTGGCGACTTTACTGGCATCTGCCGCACATGGAGTGGCAGTACTGTAGGCCGAGCCCTCTACAACTACCTTGGTACTGCACCACGCTCTCTCCCTCCCATATGTCCCCACCGTACATCCTATCACCCCCATACCTCCCCACCATACATCCTATCACCCCCATACCTCCCCACCATACATCCTATAACCCCCATACCTCCCCACCATACATCCTATAACCCCCATACCTCCCCACCATACATCCTATAACCCCCATACCTCCCCATACCTCCCCACCATACCTCCTACCATAATCCCCCCCCCATACCTCCCCACCATACATCCTATCACCCCCATACCTCCCTGTTACGAACCCGGATCCAGCGTCCGAGCCTGGAGCAGTAACAACCACGCCATCTGTGGGTCAGCTCCCGAAACCCCCGCCAAACGGACGACGACACCTAGTGAGGACAGCGTGTACTGGCCTCGAGGACCAGTTTCCAGTCTGGTTCAACGCTCAACACCGCCGCTCCTGACCTCTGGTGAGGTGGTGCTCCGACGACAGCGCCATCTATGGACTGGATACGTCAGGTGTTTGTGCCCGCGCCCGTAAGTGAGGTATTTTAGTGTCCCAGTCATTGATGACGTGTCTGCTTACAGAGTCGACCTGGGACTACTGTGATGGGAGTAGAGTCAGTCTACCCGAGGCAGCCAGTCTCCATACTGTGAAGTTTGCTGCAGCTGTTGTGACGTCGTCCCCCCGGAAGAACACTGTGGAGTGTTAGCCTGCCAGTGGAGTGGCAGTGAAAGGATTTACCCGGGACCGACTGTTGGAGACGATCATCCACTGGGGTATTGAGGACAGGAGGGTGATTTGTGATATCACACGAGACTCCTGTCTAGGGTGTACCCCTTATATCGTTCGTGGAGTGGCCGTACCAGCCTTGGTGGCTCAGTACCTGCCAGCAGACCAGCTGGACGTGTGGTTGACGGCCTCCACGACGGTGCCCCCAGTGGACCTGTGTTTTGGCTGACCTGTGGCCAGGGTAGGCTCGGCATTCTCAGAGGACACGTCGTGAGGCCACGAAGAAAGCACCGCGGACTCAGCACCTAGCTTCTGGCTCAAGAGTCTTCAGAAGAAGACTAATTTGTGGATTAATCCCCTTGTCTAGTGTTAATACCCCCCCCCCTTTGTGCAACCGTTTTATATATTATTTATTTGTGACGGACATTATATTATATTAAGTTCTTAGCTTTCTTTCCCTACTCCCTTTAAGTTACTTGCGTCACGGATCGCATCCCTTGATAGCCACTACTGGCTCGGGAACGGATACATATATCTTCCTCTAACAACATCAGAGTAAGGACCCCGTTGCGTCCCGAGAGGGCCGTAACACTCCCCACCATACATCCTATCACCCCCATACCTCCCCACCATACATCCTATAACCCCCATACCTCCCCACCATACATCCTATCACCCCCATACCTCCCCACCATATATCATCTTATCAGCCCCATACCTCCCCACCATACATTCTATCACCCCCATACCTCCCCACCATATATCATCTTATCGTCCCTATACCTCCCCACCATACAACTCATCACCCCCCATACCTTCATACCTAATTGTATGTACCAATGTACCAATGTATGTGTTTATACCTCCAATAGGCATAAATCCAATATATTCTCTCCTGTCTCTATTTCTGGCTATTACAATGGGGGAGGGGGAGAGGGTGGCACCATTACCCGCAGGCCACAGTGGAGGCGCTCCGACTGTAAAAATCCTGGTTGGGCTCGAGTTCTTGGGACCCCAAGAACCTCCCAGTGAATGCAGTAGCGTTCTGGGTTGGTTGGCTGTGGTCCTCTCGTGGCCGAGTTAATTAAGGAAAGTTTCTGAGAGTCACCCGAACGCTCGTTCAAGTCACCACATTGCCTCAAAATGATTTTCTCATCAAAACGCAGGTAATGAATAATGTTAAACCGTAACGTAAGCAAACACAAGGAAAAAAATTTCACAAAGAAAATTAACCAAAAATTTGGTCTGAGAGTTATGAAAGTTCCCGGGGCATTCATCTCGCTCCATTTGAAGTAGGAGGTAAAAAAATCCCGTCCTCTGATTGGAGGCTGAATAATCTCTGAGATTTAACAACAATATCACTAACGCTTCCAGAGAAGGGAGAGGGCGGGAGAGGGGAGTGAGAATGTGAGAGTTAAGGGAGAGGGCGGGAGAGGGGAGTGAGAATGGGAGAGTGAGTTAAGGGAGAGGGCGGGAGGGGAGAGTGAGTTAAGGGAGAGGGCGGGAGTGAGAATGGTTTTGTGCGAGAAAAGTCGTGTTGGCTCCGGCGGGAGGAGCCAGAGAGATGGGAACGGTGGGGAGGAGTTAAAGGTGGAGTGTGAGGGAGGGACCAGGAGGAGGAAGACAATAGTAGCTGGCCCGCAGGAGGAGGAAGACAATAGTAGCTGGCCCGCAGGAGGAGGAAGACAATAGTAGCTGGCCCGCAGGAGGAGGAAGACAATATTAGCTGGCCCGCAGGAGGAGGAAGACAATAGTAGCTGGCCTGCAGGAGGAGGAAGACAATAGTAGTTGGCCCGCAGGAGGAGGAAGACAACAGTAGCTGGCCCGCTGGAGGAGGAAGACAATAGTAGTTGGCCTGCAGGAGGAGGAAGACAATAGTAGCTGGCCTGCAGGAGGAGGAAGACAACAGTAGCTGGCCCGCAGGTGGAGGAAGACAACAGTAACTGGCCCGCAGGAGGAGGAAGACAACAGTAGTTGGCCTGCAGGAGGAGGAAGACAATAGTAGCTGGCCCACAGGAGGAGGAAGACAACAGTAGCTGGCCCGCAGGAGGAGGAAGACAACAGTAGTTGGCCTGCAGGAGGAGGAAGACAACAGTAGCTGGCCCGCAGGAGGAGGAAGACAAGACTAGCTGAACTACTCAGACTACTTGTCTGAGCACGAAGACACACATAGCTAGCCCACAGAAGGAGGAGGAGGAAAAGGTAGCTGGCCTGCAGGAAAAGCAACACAAGAATAGCTCACCAACAGGAGAAAGAAGCCAAGTATAGTTGAGCTATAGGTAAAAGACAAAAATGACTGGACTACGAAAGTGGAAGACAAGAATAGCGTGGCAAAAATAGGAGGAAAACAAGAGTATCTGGGCCACAGAAAAAAGAATTAAGGAAGACAGAAGTAGCTAGAAATGCGTTTGGGGCTGTCAGAACCCCAGAGAGAAAGGTGAAACAAATTTAACCTTACAATATCCACGCGCACCGGTCTGTACTGCGGGGTCCTCCCCTGCCTGGGCGAGTCCACAGCAAACTCTGCTTTCGCCAGGGATCTCCCACCCCTCAGTCATCCTCTTATCCCGGTCGCGTGAGCATATATCGCTCCCGCCTTCTTAATGTCAACTAGCTTCAAACTCATTATATCATTTCATTATTTCTACAAACTTTCTAATCTACATTCACAAGCGATACAAGATCGCTGGGCACACGATCTTGCTGCAACAAGCAATACATGACAGTATATCAGGTTTTTACCGCAAAGGGGGTGACGTGATGCTTGTCCACGACGCTCAAATATGGCGCTCTGACAGGTCGCTCACAAATTTCTCTTGGACTCCCACTAATTGACTCCTTCCAGTCCCGATTTGATTGTGAGGGGGTCAGGGAACAGGTGCCAATCAGGAGCACCTGCCCAAATGATCCTCTTGAAGGATAGATATATTGTGGGTCCTCAGGGAACGACCTCCCAGCTGGTTTCAGGCCGCCACAATATCATTGCCACTATTCAAAAGATACGTCACAAATCGTCCTCCAACAGCTTCCTCACACATTACTTACGTAGCTCCTCAGAAATTTTCTTCTGGAACGACGACGTATGTCCTCTTCCGACCCTCACAACTCAAGTGACGTCTTAAGACTTCTGCCCACGTCAGGTCGGATACTGTTGACATCGCACCTCGTTTCCTTAAAGATGCTCATCCGCTGCTTACCTTGTGGTAAGCAAGCATCTTACCTGAGGCCAAACGTCTCCTCAGTCATGTTTAATGACGTTTGCTTCACTTAATTCATCTCCCTGACTCATATATCTGGTCAAGTGGGGAATAACTCTCACAAGGGACTGACCCACATTACGAGGCTACTTGGGGGTTCATAAATGACACTCCCCTTCCCTTATTTATTAGAATTATTCTCAGTGGCTAGGGTTGTGACAAAGTGTCATCCACTGCAGTGTCTTGGCCTCTTATGTGTTGTATACTCAGGTTGTAGTAACAGGAACCATCTGGTTAATCATTGATAAGCATGTTTCATTTTACTTAGGAACACCAGTGGTTAAGGTCGTATACACAGTAACCTGGTGTCCTCCTCCCCTACGTACAACTCAAAATGTTCGGTGTCATGACTAATATCAACATCTTCTTTTCCACCGTACTATACGACCTCTGGTGTTTCACACACTTCTTGGACAAGAAAGACATGGGGCGATGGATTTCATCTCTCTGCTGCTTCAATACAGCTCCAGCTCCTACTTCACTGACATCCACAAATAATAAAAAGGGCGTTCCAAAATCCGGCGATTTTCTTAGTCAACAGTTTCTTCGTCTTGACAAATGCTTCTTGGGCCATTCCGTCCCATTTCCACTTCTTTTTCTTGGACAGCAGGCTTATCGTAGGGGTGACGACGGTAGAAAAATTCTTACAGAATTTCCTGTAATATCCGATCATCACCAAGTATCTCAACAGCTCTCTCTTGCCGTTTGGTGCCAGGAAATTATAAATAGCCTCGACCTTCGTTCTTACTAGAGCGACCTTCCCTTGTCCTAACACATAACCTAAGTACTCCAGTCGGGCTCTCACAAACTCACTCTTTGCTAAATTTATATTCATATTGACCCGCTCCAATCGGCCGAACAATTCTAATAACCTGTCCACATGTTCTCAAAAGAAGTCTGGGAACATCACATGGCATCTATATACAGAGCGCATCCAGTTACACCTAGTAACACCTGATTCATTACCCGTTGGAAACAGCTACCACTGTTCTCATTCCGAACGGTAATACCTTGTACTGATATAACCTATCAGGTGTCACAAATGCTGAGATTCTCTTCGCCTCCTCTGACAGTGGG